TGGCTTACATAAAAACAGAGTATGACTTTGTACAGTCTCCATACATGGTGCTGACCAAATAGATACTCATGAAAACTAGTGAACAAAAACCAAGTGAAACCTTGGGTTGTATGATAGAAACAAATGCACAAAGCTACACTTCTGCAACTCAGGCAGCACAGGATACTCTATGAAAAAACAGGATTCCCTGAAGGTAAGCTTGAAGAGAAAATAACAAACAACATGACGAAACAGTCCACCATGACGTGAACAAGCAGAAAGATTAGCACCCCAATTGAAAAATATAGGGTAAATATGAAAAGAATTTAAGAGACATGGTGGTTAGAGTGACAATATGTAATATAAGTTGATTAGAAGTTCTGGAAGAATGGGGAAGTCGTATATTACAAATCTAATTCTATAACTATATATATATTATATAAATTATATAACTAATAATTTTTCAGAATCAAAGAGAGATATAAATTCAAAGCATGAGCCCCAAGTAGATAAATAAAAGAACACCTAGATACAGTGGTGAAACTGCACTATAGCCAAGACAAACTCTTGAAAGCAACTAGACTTTATCACAAAGAAACAGTGATTAGATTGACAAATGATTTTTCATCAGCCTCCATATATGGAGTCCAGATGACAATGAACTTAATACCTTCAAATGCTGAGATAAGATAAATGTTAGCCTAGAATTCTATATTCAATTAAAATATCATTTTAAACATGAGGGTAAAAGATATATTTTTAAACAATGAAGAACAAGAGTCCCTTGGCGCCTGGGTGACTCATTCAGTTAAACATCCAACTCTTGATTTCAGCTCAGGCCATTATCTCAGGATGGTAAGATCGAGCCACATGTCAGGCTCTGTGCTCAACAGGGAGTCTGCTTGAGATTCTGTGTCTCCCTCTCCCTCTGCCCCTTCCCCTGCCTCCATCTCTCTAAAATAAATAAATAAATCTTAAAAAAAAAAAAAAAAGGAACAAGAGTCTCTTGCTAAATTAACTCTGAAAGGATGCATGTCCAAAGAAAGAATTTGAATTCAGAAGATAGTGCTGGAACAGAAACAATTGATAAACATCTTGATATGTTTAAAAAAACAGAACACTGATTATCAAGTTTTGGGCAGTGAGTGGTTCACAAGCTTTTAGATTTTTGTAGGCAAGGGAAATTTCTCCCTGAAACTTAGCAAACCACAAGGATGTTAACTTTTAATTTTGCCAAGTAGAAACATTTTGTCAAGACTGCCATTAACACATACACCCTGCTCTCAGGGACCTTACAGTCTATTGTAACACCTAAAAAGTAAAAAGAATAAAACTAGTAAATAAGAAGAGTCTGTTAAAATAAGAAATTTAGTTTCATGAAAAAAAAATCTAACCACAGTGATATCACTCTTCTAATTTTGTCACAGAATATTAAAAATTCCATAGAGCAGTGCCAATCTATGGCATTTGAGCTATGTGTCTGATTGTACCCTACCTTCTCCCTGGTTCCTGTAAATTCTTTGATAGTGTTATTTTTTTCATTACACTAACATAATGCCTGGTGAATAGTAGATGCTCAAGAAATATTCTTGAATGAATGGGAAATAATGTTTTGTTTTGCCAGACAATCCTCCCACTTGGTTAGAAGTTGAGCCCATGAAATTAGAAAGTCCATTTCCAATTTTCAGTGTCATGTAACAGAAATTTCTCTTAGTGAAGACTGTTGATAACTTCACTCTCCTTCCTTAACCTCAAGGGCAAGCACAGAAACCAAAATTTCTCCTAGAGTCTTCCCAAAATAAATTGTAGGGTTAGAGAAGGGAATCACCCCAACACAGGCAATGGTTTATTAGTTCATAGAAGTCATAGGAGTAATCTTAATAAATCTTAACTTCTCCTAAAAAGAAATATGAGTATGTGAAAGAGAATTATGTTCTGAGCTAAGATGGTGGGTAGTCAAAAAAATCATCAATCTCTCTCACTATATTCTATCATATTTATTTTATTTAGGGATATTAATCCATTTCCTATGATGGTTGTTCTACAAATTCCCCAAGAGCCAAAAAGTTTCAGAATGCATTTAACTTACTAGTGAACCAGCTTGGGACCTACCTTAGGGTCCTTATTTGGCAACTGATATACCTATGCATATATCCATGCAAATATATCATCCATGTTCTAGGATCCAGCAGTTTAAAGAATGGTATTTCTAAATGTCTGAAAATGTTCTCTGGGTGCCTGGGTGGCTCAGTCAGTTAAGCGTCTGACTCTTGGTTTGGGCTCAGGTCATGATCTCGGAGTCATCGGATTGAGCCCCATGTGGGGCTCTGCACTCAGCATGGAGTTCACTTGAGATTCTCTCCTTCTTCTCCCTCCCCCTCTGTGCCTCCTTGCCCACTCATGCGCATGCTCTCTTTCTCTAAATTAAATAAATAAAATCTTTTTTAATAAGAAGAAAATGTTCTCAAGTTCTTTCAGGAACTGTCCCTCTTGCTATCTTAGTATAAAATAAAATTTTCTTAGTTTTTATCTTTCAAGTGAGTATTTTTTTATCTTGGGAAATCTTAATTGAGATGTCATGATCTTTATTATCCAAGTTGACATTCTAGATAAGATCTCTTTGAAAACTCTTCAGAGCCTTTTCTGAGACTAGTTTAACATCTTGGGAGTATTTCCTATACATAGATTTACAGTCCCGTGCTTTAAACAGTAATTCGTGGGACGTTAATGCCATAGCAAAATCCCAATCCCCAGGAGCCCACTAGGTAATAAAGTCCTGTTAGCAGTGGGAAACTACCTTTCAAAATGTGTTATTCTCTGTAGGATAAGAAGGCTCTATCAAGGGCTGTACTGTGAATCTTGAGATTAAAGTTTTGGAAAAAATATCTTGAGCACTTGCCATTTTGGGTAGAGATTTTTCAAGGCACTTTTGGAAAAAAGAGTTTCTGTAAGTTGACCTCATAGTATGTTTTCCTCATAGATGCTATGAACATTGTCCCTTTGAATGATAGAATTTTCATTTCACAGTTCTATCTAAACTTAAGGTTCTTTGACCTCTGTCTAAAGTAAGATTTAGATCTAATAAAAATCATAAAAGATCAGGAGTATAGTCCAGGATTATGGATAAAAATTTTTTTTGGTAATCTCTTAATATACTTTTTTTAGCAATGTTTCTCTGTTTTAGTGAACACATTTTTCTTTGAATATGGGTATTTTTGATATATGGGATAATATTTTAAGACCCTAAAATGTTAGTCCTACTGTTTTTCTAATATTAAACTGAAATAATATATTTAGGAACTTATATTAGGAAACCATCTCCTATAAGAAAGGAACACTAAAATAGTATAAATAACCACATAAAACAGAAACTGAAACTTTGAAGAAAGTAGAATTTGCAGTACATTGAGTTGTAAGAACAGGAAAATTATCTTTATATTATGGTCTACAGTACATTTTGTTTATCTTTTGTAATGTTTTAACTCTCTTCTAGCTCAGTAGTTCTTCAAATAGAGTTTAAAGTAGATAAATAAAGTATATAGAGTAGATTATTCAAAAGTATTTTAAAAGTCTAATAGAGGGGTGCCTGGGTAGCTCATTCAGTTAAGCATCTGCCTTTGGCTCAGGTCGTGATCTTGGGATCCTGGGATCGAGTCCCACATGGGGCTCCCTGCTCAGAGGGACTGTTGCTTCTCCCTCTCACGCTGCCCCTCTCCCCTCCCCTCCCCCACTCGTGTGTGTGTTGGGGGGAGGGTGTGCGCGCGTGCGTGCGTGCACGCTCTCAAATAAATAAAAAATATTTAAAAAGTCTAATAGAAATTATATGGCTCCTTTTGTGCCTGGTGGAAGGGAGCATCCTAAAGAGGAGCCAAAGAGATCCCCTCAATGTTATACCTTGTGAGGCATTTCCACTTGTAGGAAAGTTGAACCAGTGAATTAAATATGTTACCACTTCATTTCTGAATTATGTTTACATGACATAAGTTTTTATAATGATGTTTTGAGAGTAAAAAGAGCAGTTGGGAAATAATAGCAATAAAAGTGAATGTTATACATAAATTTATCTTTGCACTCCAGATTAATATATTTTTATTACAAATATGTATTTTATACTAAATGGTTCTAGTTTAACTAAAAACCTGTACTATCAGTAATGATGCTAGTCGGTGATCATATATAAAAGGAAATTGAAAATTTTGAGTATTTTCTTCAAAGAAATGATAGTGAAGACAACTCCAAACAACATCTGAAATATGTCAGTTATGAAAGTGACACATAAATAGCATTTGTTCAAAACCACATTTCCCTTTCATGCAGGTGGGCTACACTGATGATCTGCAAATAACATTGCTAGATTGTTCTTTATGAATTTTAGAAATTACTCCCTGCCCATGCCCATGGTCTCTCTCTTTTTTTTTCTTTTTAAAATGGTATTTGTTTGAATATTACAGTAGGTCTAGGAAGTCACCACCTGGTAACACTTTATTAGTAATTGGTAAGTTGGTACAATTGTATATTCTTGAGAGTAATAAACCTATTTCCTTTCTACATATTCATCCATTCTCCCTACTCTTCTACAGTAATGAAAAAGAATTTTTTTTAAGAATTCCTGTTTAAAGATTTATCCTTAAGCAATCTCTACACCCAATGTGGGCCTCAAACTTACAACCCCACAATCAAGAGTCATGTGTTCTACCAACTGAGCTAGCCAGATGCACCAGTGCATTAGTGAAATTTCTGCACATTATTTTTTAAAGATCCTAATCAAAAAAACTAAGATATTCTTTATCCACTAAAATAAGAATTATAAAGAAAAATATTTAAATGATTCTGCAAAATGGGTAACACATCTTGTATAAGAATCTCCTCCAAAATCTTCATCTTTTATGCTTCAACAGCAGAAAAACACCTGGGATGTCTTTTTAAAGTAATGTGAGTGCACATAGGTATATTTTTTGGAAGAAGTGGACATGATTTTAGTCTCTACTTCTGATCAACTTGCTTTTTGCCTTCTTTCCTAGGAAGTGTGTAGAGAGCTCTGGTGTCTCAGCAAAAGCAACCGCTGTGTCACCAACAGTATTCCTGCAGCTGAAGGAACACTCTGTCAAACTGGGAATATTGAAAAGGGGGTAAGCTCAGATGATTTATTATCTTTTTGACAAGTAGACTAATCTGATCCATTTCTGATGTTGGTATTCAACCTCTAGGAAATCATGCATACTAATTTAAAATGCACTTGAGAAAATAGTAGATGCCTAGCCTAATGAGTTAATTGGCACATATAGACATCTGCACATCTGCAGTGTTTGGGAAACTACAGTGACTATTTATTTTCTAGCTCTGTTAAAACTTTCTGTGCATATATGTATATATTTGTATAGAAAATCCAACAATAATCTTGTTGTCATATAATATAGTCTGTTTAGTCATGTAAATCTAGGTTTCTTTCTGATAAATAATTCCCAGGAAAATTATGTGACCCACAAATATATTTTATAACTAGAGTCAAACTAGAGTTGATTTAAAATTACAACATAAGAGGGCTAGTAGTAGAGGAATAATTAAACAATTTACTGAGCATAGAAATTGTAGCTAAGTAATTTTAGTTTCATCAGTCTAGTTTTCAGAAAAATATCATTATTAAGAATTGTTCAAATAGATAAGAATAGTTTACGCTATTTCTGAAATTCTTTAGGAATTGCTATATATGTGAATTCTAGAATTTATTGCTACATGCTGAATTTACAATAATGACTACTACTGTCTTCTGTTCTGAATTCTTCCATTAGTTGGGGGACTTTCAACAAAGATTACACTGCATTTCAGGTTGCAATCTGATGTTTAAATAAAAGAATGAAAGCTTTTGGGCAGCTGTCACAGTTTTATTAATCCTTGCTGACGGCTTCATTCAAGACCTGTGACCTAGTGCCATGTTGATGGCTTTTCCATGCTGAGTTTGGAAATGTTGGTAAATTGTGCTAAATGTATGAATTGATAGGTCATTTTTAAAGGATTAAGGATCTTTTTTTGAGACTTTGTAAGTAGCCAGTAAAAATACAGAGACCTTCACACACTACAAAAAATTCTTTTTTTTCACTGAAGTAATAGAAAATATTAAGAACTGCATTCTTGAAACAACAGTCTAGGTTTATTTTGGAGTCAGCCGTTCTTGTCAACGACAAGTAGCAATTTACATCAATCTGTACTCAGAAGAAATACATAATAGTAAGGGGGGAAAGTTACAGTGAGAATCTCTTTATTTGCCCTTGATTGATTATTATTCTTGTGATCTAGTCCATGGGCCACAGTTTCTTTTTGCCTAGAATAATACTATCACTAAGCCTCATGGCTCTCTTTATTGTACTTTATTTTTAAATCCCAAGCATAAAGAATTCATTCTTTTAAACCTCTCACAGTCCTCCTACTAGCATTCTATAAATTATATAATCACTTCAAGTAAGGAAACCACAGGTAGTGGCTATCTGAGAACACATAGCTCAACCCCACTAATCATTTATATGGTAGGCACATATTTAATATCTTATCATTTGTGCTTAATAATAGGACCCTCAAATGTTATATCTTAACAGTATTTGCATATATGTGATAGAGGTAATATTTGTTTGGAAATTACCGACAATTTTGAGGGATACCAAGAAAACACTCTCAATAATATTAAATCTAATAGTATTGAATTTAAATTTGATAAACAGAGATATAATACTTTAAAGCATATACATGAATAAGCACAGACAGGAGAAAGTGAATAAAATGGGACGAAAATATATTTGATTTCTAAAGATTCACATTCTTTTTTTTAGAGCTTATTTAAGTAATCTCTATACCCAACATGTGGCTCGAACTCATGACCCTAAGATCAAGAGTGACATGCTCTTTCGACTGAGCCAGCCAGGCACCCCTAAAGATTCACATTCTTAATTTTGGATAGTGGTTGTCAACTTTTTGATCCCTAAATCGTTTCTTCAAATGAAATCTACAGAATTCTGATAATATACATTTGAAAAAATGGAAATACTCTTGTTAAAAAAACTCCTTGCCTACCTCCTTACCCTGTCCTTGGACCCTTCTCAGCTTCTTACATGCCTCAACAGAACATCTTGGGCTCCATGAAAGACTATTTAAGAACTTTGTAAGTATAACAAAGTTGGTGTACCAAGAGACCACTCATACTTACAACATCGTAGTTTCATATAGTCAATATGTTGGATTTCACTATCTAAAATTAATCTACAGGGCTCCATGCTAGGCGTAGAGCCTACTTAAAATAAATAAATAAATATTAAAAAATAAAAATAAGTAAGATTAATCTACAAAGCAAATATTAACCATTCTTTCAGAGACATGGACGATCAATAGATAGCTTTATGAAAGTGACTAACAAATCTTAAATGAGTGAATGAAAAGAACAAATACATATGCAGACTTCTAGAAAGGAAAAGGGCAGAGTGCTATGAGAAGACCCTCAAACCATCTCTATCATTAACAGTGAATTTATGAAATGGATTTCAAAGTACCAGATCAACCTACATGTTTAAGAGAAAAAAATAAAAAGGACTAGAAATGGGAGCTAAGCCATTCTTTATTTTTTATTTATTTTTTACTAACTGTACTTGCCATGTTATTTATTTTTGAATTTTTATTGTTAATTTCAGTTATTTTTTTTCCTTAAAAGGGAAGCATGTTTACTGTTGCCAAATGCAGATTTTTCTCTTAAGGCTATATCTATTTGGAAATTAAACCAGAACTCAAAAAAAAAGAAAGAAAGAAAAAGAAAAGAAAAGAAATTAAACCAGAACTCAGAATTTTTACTCCAACCAAAACAGCCATGCAAAGAGCCAGTGACACAAAGTAGAAATTTCTCCTGGTCTAGTCAACTTTGTGTGGCATTAAAATATAGTTGGCATTACCAGTAACCATGATGATGATGATGATAATGAAAATTTTTAAAGTACTTACACTGTGCCAGGCACATATTTGTTCTGTTTAATATTGGCAAAAATCCTATGAGGTGGGTACTGTTTTAACTCTATTTTACAGATGGGGAGAGTAAGACTTGAAAGCCTAAGATTACACTGCAATTTAAAAGCAGAGCAGACTCCAGCCCAGGTCTTTCCGATTCCAAAGTTGAAACTGTGCCCCTCTACACTGCCCCTGATTTTACCTTACCTGCAGATGGGAAATTTGCAGAGAAAAAAGCAAATTTTTCTTGTCACAGGGATAAAGTAAGTCACTGAGCCTGAGATTGGTGGTGACAATGTATTTTACCCTTTAATACTAAGCGGATTTTTCACTTATCTACCTGTAACAATTTGTTATCTCAGGAATTACAATGAGAAAGCACTTTGGGCAGAACATTGAGGTAAGAATATATGATTGTGTTACAACCAGCAAAATCATGAATCTCCACTTTGAAATGAGAGAGATCTATTTCAACATTTTGTAGTGATCTTGTGAGGATGGAGTAAGATGATATCTCAGTGAGCTTTTTGTGGGCTTCTTCAGAGGAAAGGTGCCAGTGTATATTACTAGAGCATCATCATTCATTATTTTCCAACCTTAGATGATGGTGGGCAGAAAATACTTCACCAGACTGTCTTAACTGGCACTAATGAGCATCAGAGAGTATAAGCATGACTTTGTGTGTCTCAGAAACATGAATGGAATACCCATGACTGACCTCTGATCTTAACTTTGAATTTCAAAACTACTGTCTGAAGAAGGAACAAGAAAAAAACCTACATCCTGTCTAGCCAGCAGGATAAAACCAAAGCTGTTCATAGTTTTTTGAATAAATCCTTTAAAAAAAAAAAAAGTCGGGGGAGGGGAGAAATATTGCTCAAGTGATAGCATAGACATATCCAGAGGACTGGATCCACAATGATCTCGTCAAACTCTGGCTGCAAAAGATATGGGATCCCTGCCCGGGGGCGCAGTTCCACAAATGTTCCATGTAAGTATGGGAACTGTTCCATGCACATTTAGCAGATGGAGTAAGAAATATGGCCAAAAAATTAAAAACTGATCTTTGCGTGAGTCCTGGGGGGTCTGACATCGCTATTACAGCCATTGGATGTTTGCCTGAATAAGCCATTCAAGTATTGAATAAGAACCATATGGTCTGAATGGATGTGCTCAGGGACAGTAGCATTAACCAAAGGAGGAAATTTGATGAGCCCAGACGGCGCGCTGGTACTGTGCGTCCATGGGTCACACTCCTGCAAATCAATCAATATAGCTTTCAGCCAAAAGAACTTTCCTTAGTCATGGCATCAACAATAGCTTTTTGGACAGGAATCAGAGGGATGCCATACGTGATAAAATAATAAACAAAGATTTAGACTGTAAAAACTTTGAAAGTAGTGTTGGCATTGTTACTGAGCAGGATATTAAGGAAAATCAAAACTCAATCTTTGCAAGCTCTGATGGTGACCAAAAAGTCTCCAATACTTGGTTTATTGCCAAAAGATTGATTTAATGATTCTACAAGACCAATTAGAGATTATAGCTCAGTATTTAGGCCTACACATACATAACATTGATTCCTAGTATCTTTGCATGGGAAACATAGGACTGGATTAGAATAGGATTATTACAAACCCTTTTAAAGCACTAGACATATAATAGGACATTTGCAGCCCTATATCTTAATTCACTTAAGAGTAGAATGTAATATGTTTTGACTGGGTCCTAAACTATAAACACAGGAAGTGAAAAAAGAATAGTCCTTTCAGTTGCTCTAGAAATTTAAATAGCATGGGATGACAAGTTCTGATTTAGAATTTGGGCTGAAATCAGCTTTTGCATTCCCGCACCTGCACAGAGGAAAGAAAAGGCTTTTAATAGTGCTGTGCTCCAACTCTCAGCTTTTCTGACTTGGGAAGTATGTTCCATTTTGAATCTCCAATATCGCTTCCTTCAAAATCTTAGGATTTCCTTAGGGGTCTCTCATTCCTGATGCTGGCTGGACCCAAAGTGCTGGCTATGGTACAAGATGTACCATAATCGCATCCTAAAATGATTCTCCAATTTTAGTATATGTGCTGCCGAAGCGAGCACCTAAAATGATTCTCATTAAAAAATATATATTATATATATTTAAAAATACTGT